AAGGGACTTTGGGGTTAAACATAGATCAGAAAAGCATATATTTCTGATAGTGCTTTTTCACACTTGTTTTAAATATTTTCATTTTTAGTTTTTCTTTAACATTTGAAGAAAATAATTGGATCAAGAGCTGGTTGAGATGAGCAGTCCAAATACAGAAGCTGCCAGAGAAGACAGGTGTTACCCACTAGTAAAACCTTAAATAGGCATTTATGCAACAACATTCTATGATCATCCCATTTCAAGCTCTTTTTCTTTGAAGTTATACATTAAAAAAAAAAAGGCACCCTGTCTAACTCGGCTACTCAACTATTAAGGTGATACTGAAGTTAGGAGAATGGATTTTAGAGTTGTCTAGACTTAGAACCTATTAACAGTGTGACCTCATGAAAATTTGCTAGACTGAGAATGGGGATATAACACATGCTACTTACAATTTAATGCCTACTTAATGTAATGCATACTATAGGATAAACATTGAATTAAATGCTGAAGATGTATTTGTAAGACAGGCAGGGACAACATGCAGCATGTTTATCTGTTAAATCAGGCAGGGGCAGACAATAGCCAAACGAGTAAATACATGAGCTAATTCCTCTGAAGGAAAAAACAGGCAAGTATATCGGAGGAATAGTGTTGCAGAGTAAATAAAGGGTGAGGGTAGATGGCAAGCAGAGAAAGGAGTTTAGGGAGGGTGGCATTTGAGCTGAAATCTAATCTAGGGGACATTTTGTCAAGAAGGTAGGAGGAGAGGGATCCTAGGCACAGCTGTTGTGAGGAATAACTGAGTGGATGCAAAGCATTTGGTAGCAAGTAACCACTCAAGCAGCTACTTTCAATCTTTCTTGGCCAAGCAAGAAGTTGGCCAAGTCACAGATCAGAGGGAGACACACACGCACAAACTCATATATAAAAGAAAAGGCTCTTGAGCTATCAAGCTGTCATCAGGGAGCTGACCCACATGCGCAGGAGACCTCCCCTATCTCACTGCTCCCCTGTGTAGTGTATTTCAGTATTATCTGCCTGTTCTGTTCCCCTGGTGAATCTCTCTGATGAATCCACTCACCTCCTGCACTCTGGCCTGTACCCCAGTTCTTGTATGCATAAATACATAAATTTTTTTTAAAAATGCAGAAATGTAAACAAAATTTCTGGTTATATGATTAACCTGATAACTTACTTATGGAAGTTCAAATACAGTATGGAAGTTCAAACACAGAATAGGTATTTAAGGGTTGGTTGTAGAAATCTTTGTGACTCTTGGGCAGTTCCATGAGCTGATAGTTTTTGGATAAGATTCTCTGGGCCCTTATATGGTATGAACCACCACATCTTGTTCTGGGAACTCCAAATACATCTGTTCCTTTAATGGTCCCAACATGCCAGTGTTTTCCTTCATTTCCCCCCTTTACAGATAAGAAAATGGAGGTTCAAACAGCTAGTAAATGATAGTGCTGGGATTTAAATCCAGATTTAATCCTGTTCCTCAAGCCCCACCCCCAACACCTTGCATTTTTAACCACTTAAGTGATGCTTAGACTCTCTAAGCCAGAGGAAATACCTCTGAGGGACGCCTTTCCGTCCATTGGGGCACCTCCGCCCTGCAGATAAATCCCTAACCAAGGAACTCCCACACTGGAAAGACTGCCTCACCTGAGTAGAAAGCCCCACCCAGGCCACACACCCAAAGCCGCCCAGAGTGCCCTCACCTCCTTAAAAGAGGTCTGCATTGCCTGGCAGAGACCCCATTCTTGGGATAACCTCTTAATTTCTAAGGAAACCCTATCCCATTTCCGATAAGCCCCTTCCCCCCTAGTATTGACAGGATTGGCCTCATAAACGGTGAGGCGTAGTGCAAAATAAAAACGTGGGCAGTTCTTTGTTTAAAACAAGAGTTTGAAGACTGAGATTGTAGAGTATTAAAAGTCCTAAGGCCCCGGCCCTCCCTGGTGGCGCAGCAGGTTAAAGCACAGAATTAAGAAGCTAAAGCCACTTCAGCCTAAGTTCGATCCCTGCCTGGAGGGGACCACGTGGCACGGCAGACCTCCTGATCTGCCTGCTGCTCCCCTCAGCAGTGTAGTTCGTCGATCTGCCTGTTCTGCTCCCCACTCTATCTCTGGTGAATCCTCTCACGGCCTCTGGCCTGTAACCCAGTTCTGTATGCTTAACTAGACAAATCTTTAAAAAAAAATTATAAAAAAAAAAAACAAAAAACGGTCCTAGGGGCCCTCTTGAGAGACTGCATTGCTCTTTTCCTCATGAAGCCGGCTTTACTTTAGATACCCCTTGAGTGAAGAACTGGCCATTTAGGTCAGAATCCGTAAATTCAGACCTGGGGTAGTGGTTGTGGTGTTGGGGGGGGGGCGCTATATCCAGGGGGACGGTCGCCCAACTTCCTGAGACTGTCCGTACTCGAGAACACACCCTGGGAAAAACTGCGTAAATCTGGAATCACTTGGCTTGGGCAGACGTTCCCCACGCCCGCTCTCGCTTTTGGGTGGTCCTCGCCACCGCGCCCAGGCTCCACCTTCCAAGTGAGGTGGCCTCCGGGCGAGCGGCCCATTGCCGTGGCAACCGACGCCGCGAGTGGTGCATTGTGGTCTGCAACAGAATGCAGGAGAAAGATCCTGAGGGAACCATTGAGTTCATGGACCAATGGAAGAGTCCTGGGCCCTGCCTCAAGCCAATAGGGACGTTCGGCGGGGGGCGGGGCCGGCGGGGCGGGGCGGGGTCTAGGCACTAGGCGGCGGCGGCTGGCGTGGGGCTCCTTAGATGCGCCACGGCTTCAGTAGCGACGCCGTCTCTCGCCAGGTCTGAGCCTCTCCAGCCCCTCCCCCAGGCGACCGTTGCAGCCCCTGCTCCACGGTGAGACTCTGCGGGGGTGCTCCGCAGCCTGGTTCCGGCCCCCGCTGGACTTGTCCGGCGGTTCGGTCCGCGCGGCTTGTGCTTCCTGAGAAGTGGGGCGGGGGGTGTCGCCTGAGGTGGCGTGGCGCGGGGCGGGCGGAGTGGGCCGAGGGCACTAGCGCTGTGCAGGCGCAGCCCACCTCCAACTCCCCGCCCTTTGCTGGGGCCCCGTCCCGCAGGTAACCATGTGCGACCGAAAGGCCGTGATAAAAAATGCGGACATGTCGGAGGAGATGCAACAGGACTCGGTGGAGTGTGCTACTCAGGCGCTGGAAAAATACAACATAGAGAAGGACATTGCGGCCCACATTAAGAAGGTGAGCGCGGGCGGGGGGTCGGGCGGGTTGCGCGCCCCTGGGGCGAGTCCCGCTCGGTTTCTTCACGCGTCTGGCGGAGCTCCTTGGGGGCACGCGGGGCCGCGCGGGTGTGGAGGTTTCCAGAAAGGACGCGAGTGAATTTAGCGCTCCTGTGGGAAAGACCAGACCCTCAGCGCACGAAGTTGTTTTTTCTTCTTCTTTTTTTTTTTTTTTATTACCTAGCTTGGCGGTGGGGGTGGGGTGGGGTGTAAGCGCCACCTAGCAACCGTTTCTAAGCTCTGGAAGCAGCGGTTCCCCCTTCTGCAGGATTCCTGCGCCGAGGATCCATCTGGGTGTTCCGGAGGGGGGAGCTGCGTGGGTGTTTCCAGCCGGGCCAGAGGGAGATCTTGCCAACCTTCCAGTGGGGCGTTTGTCTGCAGTCGAGGGAAGGTGGGTGGTAGTGGTGGTTGGGGGCTTGGTAAATGACAGTCGGTAGAAAGCTGGCGGGACTGCCAACTTCGCGAGCTGTTTTCTGGAAGGGAAGGAAGCTGGCAGCAGAAGCTGTGGGAGTGTTCCAGAGAAGGGGAAGATGAAAGAATTATGAGGGAACAGAAGTATTTTTTGAGAATTGTAGCAGAGCGTTTGTGTAGCTTGCAGAATGTCACTTGATGGCCATAATTTCAAGCCGCATACAGCATCATAGAGTAGCCACATTTTTGCAGAAAGCACCACAGACTTGTATGGATTTTATGGATTCATTTTGGCAGGTACCTACAGTCACGTGATTAAGAGATGAAAGGGTGTTTTAGGCCCCAGGACCCCTTGGAAGTAGGGGCATGTTCTGCAGTCTGCTCTACTTGTGGTTTCCAGGTGGTAGGTTAGCACCCTCAGGGTAGGTGTGGGAAAGGAGGGCTGTTGAAATTCTAGTTAAGGGTAAAATTGTTCAGGTGGCTGTCGTGTTCTGCTTCCAGCAGTTTTCATAGCAGCAGTGGAGTACCGGGTACCTTGTTAATTGTCTTAAGTTTTGACCCACAGTGGTTGCTGTGGTGCTAATTGAGACCTGGCTCTTTTGGAAGTATTCAGTAAGGAGTGCAGTCCAAGGAGTTACAAGTTGAGGTTAAGTACTTAACCATTTTCTTGCCTTGGGGGGGGGTGCATCTACGGGAGGATTTAGTTTGTTTGCACATAAGCCCTTGCTAAGTTAGAACTGCTGATGAAATCTGCTGGCCCGTGTATAAAGAACTGGGGAAGGTGGACTTACCATTGTAACAAAGCCGCCTGTTTTTGAGGCTGCCCTTTCTGCCTTTTGCTTCCCAGCCCCCACTCCCAGCTTAGCTCAGACTGCAAGTATGTTTGCATTATTGCACTATGTAGGCGATTTGGAGCTGGGGAACATTCTTTCATTCCAAGAATTTGCAGAGCCTAATGCCTCCTTTCTTGCCCCTACAGGCTGTGCTTATCCAGGAGGCAAAGTCTGACCTCGGGTTTAGCACTAAAATTCTAGCGTGTTTTTTTTCTTTCTCTCTCTCTCCTTCCTCCCTTACCCAGGAGTTTGACAAGAAGTACAATCCTACCTGGCACTGCATCGTGGGGAGGAACTTCGGTAGTTATGTGACACATGAAACCAAACACTTCATCTATTTCTACCTGGGCCAGGTGGCCATTCTTCTGTTCAAGTCTGGTTAAAAGCATGGACTGTGCCAAACACCCAGTGATCCATCCAAAAACAGGGACTGCAGCCTAACTTCCAAATATCAAAGACTGAAATCTTCAGCCTTGCCTAAGGGAACACCTCAATCTTTCGACCTTTGTTGTGTTGTTTTGTACAGGGCATTCTCTGTACTAATTTGTTGTGGTTATAAACAGTTAGCAAAACAGCTTACATTTGTATTTATTTTCTATTCCATACCTCTCTGCCCATGTTTTTTCTCCTCAAATCCATTCCTTTAAAAAAAATAATAAATCTGTTGGAGAAGTGTGTGCTAGTTACAGTTTGTTCAAATCTAGGGTTGAAGATGGATCAGCATTTGCTCTTGATTAGGTTAGTGGGGTGAGTCAAAGGATTCTGTGAGTTATAATTGGCTAGGAGATTCAGTCCCCTTCAGTCTTTAATTCTCACCTGACCTGCAACTGTTGTGCGTGAATAATATTCAAAAGTACCTGTCCAGAAATGAGTGGTGAGAAATTTTTGGATTCTTACCCAAAAATTTGGATTCCTACCCAATCTGGTAAATACTATCACTAAATGCTGCTTTTGTAAAATACGTTGCCTCAGAATATTCTGGGCCTTAGCTCTCAGGTGGTAGTGGTGGTGAATGGGTAACTACTTGTTTAAACTTTTCCGTCACTCTAAACTGGGAATAAGTTGAAATTTGAGCTAATGAGAAACACTGTTCTGGGTTCTAGGCTATATTGCCCACCTTCTGCCCTGCCCCAAATAGGTTGAAGTTGGTCATAAAAGGGAAAAGTTTCTGAGTAGCAGCCTTCCATGTGGTTCTAATAAAGTCTCTGCAGGAATTCAAACTCTCAAGACTGCTGTGCTTTAACTGGCTGTAGTTGCAAATCCAATTAACAAATGTGAATTGATGCTTTCATTAATAGATGTCATTAAACCTGTGGCTAAAAACTATTAAATGTTGATATTAATTTTAGGAAGACTCAAGTTTTTCCTATGAAGAAAAACAAGACAGACTTGACTTCTGCATAGAAAAATTTTTCAGAAAGCTGAACAGTGGCCATCTTGGGGAGCTGCAAGGAAGGCCCTGACTTTAGGTCCCGTACAGTATTTTCAGTGTTCACATGAGGTAATACTTTCTGTCTCAGACTTTGGGTCTGTGAGGTAAATGGCTTTCTAGGAAGTCAGGCAACTGACTTGAATTGATGTATGATTATTTTAAGGGCAGCATTAGGTCTCAAATATTTGGAAAGGTTTCTTTTAGAATCCTAGCAAAGTTGTGCTACATCAGGACTGGGAAAGAAGGACGAGGAGATCTGTGGAGCAGGACACTGCTGAGACTCGGCCTTTATATAACAGCTGAAATGTTTTTTCTTTTTTTCTGTTTCTTTCCCTTTTTTGTGACCTGGCTGTATTTCTACTTGAAGCCCAAAGGAATTTGGCCATCAAAGATATATCAGTCTTGTTCACTTAGCCCTCCTTCTAAATAGTCTCCAGCAACAGACCCTAAAGTCTACAAACAGCTGGACACAAGGCTCTAAATGAAGCAGGCTGTTAACCTGCTGCCAGGAAGTAGCAGCTTTCAGTTACAGGCCCACCTCATTTTATTGGGCTGTGTTTTCTGCACAGCGTTTTTACAAGTGGAAGGTTTGTGGCAACAATGCCATTTTCTTGACAGCATGTGCTCACATTAACCTCCATTTTTAAATCATAAAGCACTTTGAGATCTATGCCTTTTTTTCAGACAATAATATACACTATTTAGACTAAACTATATATACTAGAAAACTAAAAACTTCATGTTACTCGTTTCACCATATTTGTGACATTGGTCTAAAACCAGACTTGTAATATCTCTGAGGCATGCCAGTACTGTTCATTTTTTTCAAATGTGAGAAACCACATAGTCTCAGATAGTGTTGGGCTAATGGTTTATGAAGTTTCTTTTAACCAGCTCATTGTTAATTTCAAATGTCGTTTAGTTGGCTGAAAATAAAATTTAAAAGGTTTTCCAAGGTTTAGCAGTTCAATTGCTCTTACCTGTTTTTAGAGATATTTGTGATAGCTGCATGTGGAAGCTTTCAGTGACATCAAGGTTTGTGAGTAGGGGTATAGAAATGACTAGGGTCAAGAAGCAACATCTCTGAAATCTTTTCAAATAAATTTGAACCAAGTTATTTACAGCCAACTGCCAGCCAGATGACAGGTTGATAGTAATTTCTCAGCAAGACCCCTTAAAAACCTTTTCACTTTCAAAATACGGTATTTTAATACCAAACAATGGCCTGTATGAAGGAGCACTGCGCCCACTTCTGCCCCTGACTGCTGGATGGGGGTTAGGCTAGGTAAATATTCCAAATTTTTTTGTTGTTAACAAAGCTATTCGGATGGATTCCAACAAACTCTGTAAGATAGTAAAGGAGTTTGCTGGTACATTTTACTTTCAACAAGGATTTGTGAAGTTACCTTCATGACTGGCACTGACGACATAATAGGGTTTTTCATAGAACAGAGTGCAAGATGAGAAAATGTATTCCTTCACCGTAAGAAAAAAAATGACAAATACCAGGCAAATTGTAGACTCACTTAATAGTTCAGTGACTAATTCTAGTTGTGACCAGTGGCTCTGACCTGAGCCTTGGCTTTGGCCTCAGACTCAGTCCTGTGCTGTAAGGTCAGCTGTTAAAGGACTCAGGTACAGCTATGAAGTTTGGTTCAAATCATCACTGGGTTCAAATGATTGATTATCCCTGTGGAAGGCAGCATTGATGGAAATGCAGCAGAATATTTCAAAATAGAGCTCTAGTGTGCTGGTTTTCCACACTGCACAGCCCAAAAACTTAGGAGTTGAGCAAAGAGAACCTCTGGGAGAAGGCTTGAAGCAGTACCTCATGAAAGCTGCAAAAAAGTGACAGGCATTTATTTGTTTCTTTCACTTTGACTGGTCGCATCAAAACATGAGTCCACGTAACCCTCAGAGGAGATACTTCGCTGCTGGTCTCACCGGCCAGATTATCCTTCAGTTCTAGGCTTCCCGCAGGATGTGACTTCAGAATTGGATGGAGTTACAGTTTGAAACCAGAATGAATAGCCACGATGCCTGACGTTAGACTTTCGTAAGTCACCTTCTGAAAACCTGCGTCTTCTATCATTTCTTTGAACTCCTCCTAAAGCACAAAGACACATGCTATAGGGATCATCTGGATTTTAACTTTAAGGCCTTCGTTGCAAGCTACAGAAGTTTTGTACCTGAGGTGGGAACTGCCGAATACTCTCTACAAGGTACTGGTAGGACTTCCAGTCTCCTGCGATCACTTCTCCCAGGACAGGAATTACCTGGAAGCTGTATAGATCATAAAGCCTACACAAGGAAAGGGAAAGATGAAATGGTAATGTGCCCCAGTCCCTCCCACGGTAAGAAGCAAGGTCTATAACCATTTGTGTAAAATACAAAGGTATCTGGGGTTTGGCAACTACCTGAAATAAGTAAAATGGGCTAGTGTAAGATGGGTGGGGCGTGGTAGTAAGGGTTGCAGGTACAGTTAAGAAGCACCTCAAAAGTAGAGAAGAGGCAGGTACTACTCAGCTCCCTTGCCAAGCAGGAAGATGAGCTAGCCAGGGTTGCCGGATAGCTGATTTCAGCTATGCTGGAAATCCATATTTTTATGTAAAATTTCTTGATTTTTTTTCAATATAGATATCTAAGTCAACAGGGTACTACTTGTCAAATAAAATGCATACGAGGGCCCGTCTGAGCCTTTGGCTCCTGGTTTGAGACTGGTGTAACCTCCGGGGTGGTGCTGCCCCTTAGGCTCTGGGATTCTAAACCATGAAGTTCACGCGCACAGGTTACTGACTATTTGCTATCCGATTTGTTAACACTGCCAACCTGGAGACAAGGGGATTGTTCACCCGACTAAATTCCAGACAAAGAAATCGTCCTCCTGGTTTCAGTACCCGGTGAGCTTCCTGGAGAGCCTGAGAGAGACAGAGCAGAACACGTTGGTCGGTGGATGTCACTCGGTTCTACCAGGCTTTGAGCTTTAGCTTCTTCCAGTGTTGTAAAAGTTTTCATTTCCCACAGCCCCCTTGTTCATTCTCATTTGGGAAGCTGCAACAACACAGATAACTCTTAAAGTTTGTAAGGTTACCTGGAATGATCTAAACAGACTCAGATTTTACAACTCCCACAGAAAGTGATTGTAGATTTATCAAAACCACCATGGCTATTCTTTTTGATAGAGCAGTTTTGTTTTTACTTCAAGGAATCCATCTTACAGAAATGTTTCTACTGTGGAAATGATATACAGGGGTTATTCACTGCAGCACTATGAACAGCATGCAGTCGGAAGCATCTTAACTGCTAATGAGTGACTGGTTAAGTATATAGCATGTCTATACAAATGGAATCTATGAGGATGCTTTTGAAGAACCGGTGTTTAGGTACTGATACTGAAAAAAGCAGCGGGCAAAAGCTCTCATATACTAATATTTATATAAAAGAGGAACAAAAGTACATTTAACATGCACGTAACAGCTTTGCAAAGATAAACTAGACAGGTGATTGAAGCAAGAGGAGACACTGAATGGCTGGATCACGGCGGGGAGAAGACTTCTTATTGATACACCCTTTTATAGCTTTTGAAATTTGAATCTACTCCAAAATTTCAAAATTAAAATAATAAACTCGTGGGCTCTCCCTGATGGCGCAATGGGTTGAAGCACAGCACTGCAAGCTAGCTGCAGCTGCTTCGGTGCAAGTTCGATACCCAGCCAGGTGACTCAGGGTGCAGCAGACCTCTCATATCTTACTTGCTGTTCCCCTCAGCAGTGTACTTTATCAATCTGCCTGTTCTGCTCCCCACTCTGTCTCTAGTGAATCCTCTCACTGCCCCGGGACCTCTGGCCTGTACCCCAGTTCTGTATGTATGTATAAATAAATAAATAAATCTTTAAAAAATATAATACTTACTGTAGACAATGGTCAAAAAACCACACTAAAGAACACCAGAGAGAATGTCCCACCCACAGCATAGGGACTGAGTAAGTGGAGCCCACCTCAGATAAATCAGAACCAGTGCCTAGTCTTTAAATGCTTTGAATAGAATGTTAAAGTAGAAAAAAAAGGAGTTGCATCAGATTAAGAGCTGAGCATTTCCTTGTCCTTACAGAGGAATCATGAATCTTGCTATTCTGTGTTGGCCGCAGAAATGCCACTATTCTGCACATTCACAGGGTCAAACAGCTTCACAAGTGAGAGGAAAGATGATATGCCAGAGTAGGACTGACAGACTCACAGATGTATATGCCAACCCAAGCAACCAAGGCTTCTATGGGGATCTTCTCTGTAGTTTTGCTCTTTTCCAATTTTGTAATCAGAAAAACGAGCAACTTGAACGATCGAAGCCCTCAGGCCTGAAATAGTTACCCCACTAGAACTGGGCCCAGAGAACACACTGCTGGTCATGAGCATCCTGCGAGGCACACGAGCTGAGGAAGCAGCCACTCCTACCTGATCCATATGTGTAACGTTGCGGATCCCAAAGGCAATGGTGTAAACATCAAACTTGTCATCATCAAAGGGCAGCTCTTCAGCATCTCCCAATACCCAAGAGAGTCCTGAAAGAGAAACCGGTTCCTGTCTCAGTCTGGTAGCTGTCTCTTCTGCACTCAGAGAATTGTCAAGCTTGAGAAGAGTCTTGTGGGATCCCTGGAGTCTATAGTCAGCCAGGCAAAAAGGTGGGCAGCCTGGACCACAATTTGTGGCCAGTTCTGCAGTGGGAACAGCTCTGTAGGACTGAGCTCTTAAACCCATGGAGTCTGATATCAGTGTTAAGTGGTCAGTGTCAGGACTAAACTATGTCGTAGGACACCTAGTTGGGATCTGCAAACTGCTGAGCAAACACCACACAGGTCGTACTGGAAGTGGCATCTGAAAACATCACCCACCTGGGTGCCCTGGCCACTGTCCTCATGGCATCCTATTGTCCTGAGTACTTGGGAGCTGGTGTCCTTGAAGGTTAGCAGTAACCCCTCCCCCAAAGCTCTTGAAGTAGAACCTGATGTTCGCCTAGCTGTTTCTACCTTAAATAATTTTTATCTGACTACTGTGTGGAGTACTGTGTTTAACAGCTCAAGCCCAGTATGATCTTGAATAAATTATTTTACTTCGGTTTTATCACGTGTAAAACTGAGTTAACAGTACCTACTTCATAGGATTATTGAAAGAATTCTAAGTACAGAATTTAGCCTACTTACGTTAGTTCTACTGGAATCGGAGAATTAAAGTGTCTAGACCCCAATCTGGTCATAAATTCAGAAAGCACCCAAAGAATCCCCCTATCAGAATGGTTCTAAGAATCATGTTTCAGCTCTAACCTTATTCTACTTGCAATAAATTAGACATACAATGTGATATTGAAAGAAGATGAAAATAGCTTTTCTGGAAGCAACTACCAATGTTTAACAAAAACCTTAAAAATAAACATATCCTTTGACCCAGCTATTGGATTTTGAGAACATTCATGATATCATCATCTATTTCTTCCTGAACAGTTAAAAGATAGGGCTTGTGTCACCATTTTACATGTTACCTTGTCACATTTTTTTATAAAGATTTATTTATGCACACAGAACTTAGGTACAGGCCAGAGGTACAGGGGTGGTGAGAGGATTCACCAGAGACAGAGTGGGGAGCAGAACAGGCAGATCTACTGAAATACAGTGCTGAGGGGGAGCAGCGGGGAGACAGGAGAGGTCTGCTGTGCCATGTGGGTCACCTCCCTGGGCAAGGATAGAACTGGCACTGAAGCTGAAGTGGCTGTGTAGTGCTGTGCTTTAACCCCTTGTGCCACTAAGGAAGGTCCCACCTTAGCACATTCTTATACCAACTTCATGGGGTAGTTGTTAACATCATCCTTATATTTCAGGTGAGCAAAGTCTGAGTATCAGAAAGCTTCAAGCAGTTTGCTCAAAGCCATACAGATCATTTGGAACTCAGATGCTTTTATTTAGTCTGTTATTTTTAACAGCTATGTATATAGTATCTCCTATAAGGTGGTTACTATCTTCTCCATTTTATAAATAAGGTAATTTGAGATCTATAGTGTTTATATAGAGAGCTAGTAAGAAAAGAAAAAAATTAATGGGGCCTCCCTGGTGAGATTAAACCTCAGCACTCTTACCACTATGGCCTGAGTTTGATCCCTGGCGAGGAGCTAACCCACATATGGCCCAGCAGACCTTTCCTGACTTGACTGCGGCTCCCCTCAGCAGTGTGTTTTGGTGGATTGACCTCTTGTTCTGTTTCCCACTCTGTCTGGTGGATCCTCTCAACCTCTACACCCCAGTTCTTGTATGCATAAATAAAATAATTAATTAAAAGAATTTGTAGTGACACGGAAACATCTCACAATATCATTTTTTTTTTAATTTTAAAGATTTATTTATTTATGCATACAAAAGCTGGGGTATAGGCCAGAGGTACAGGGACAGTGAGAGGATTCACCAGAGACAGAGTGGGGAGCAGAACAGGTGGATCCACTGAAATACACTGCTGAGTGGAGCAGTGGCTGAGACAAGAGAGGTTTGCTGTGCTATGCAGGTCAGCTCCCTGGCCGGAGGTCGAACTTCATAGTGCTGCACTTTACCCTGTTGTGCCACCAGGGAGGGCCAGGATGTTAATTTTATATAAAAAAGAACTAATTTTTTAAAAGGTGAAGTAAATACATTAAAATATTCAGGATTGGACTCTCCCTGGTGGTGCAATGGGTTAAAGCTCAGCACCATGAAGCTCTCAGAAGCCACTGCAGCACGAGTTCGATCCCCAGCCAGCGAGCTGACCCACGTGGCACAGCAGACATCTCCTGACCTGCCCAACGCTCCCCTCAGTAGTGTTCCAGTGGATCTGCCTGTTCTATTCCCCACTTTGTCTCTGGTGAATCCTCTCACTCCCCAAATCTCTGGCCTCTACTCAGTTCTGTAAGCATAAATAAATAAATCTTTAACAACAACAGCAAAAAATTCAGGGTCATCTACTGAGGTTAGAGTTATGGGTAACATTTACTACCCTCAACATTTTTTTGAAATTCTGGATTTTCAAAATCTAAAATTTTTCACAACTATATATTTTTATATAACCTATCAAATATTCTTAAGGTTCTGGCCCTCAGCACTTCCTTTTGGGGAGGATGTACATATAAAAATGGATAGGGGCCTCCCTAGTGGCACAGGGGTTAAAGTCTCAGCGATATCAAGCTTTTACCAGCTACTGCCACCTGAGTTCAATCCCCAGCCAGGGAGCTGACCCGCATGGCACAGAGGACATCTTCTGTCTTGCCCGCTGCTCTTCTCAGCAGTGTATTTAAGTAGATCTGCCTGTTCTGCTCCCCACTCTGTCTCTGGTGAATCCTCACACCTCCATACCTCTGGTCAACACCCCATCTTTTGTATGCATAAATAAATAAATCTTTAAAGAAAACGTTAGATGTAATAATGTGTTTACACATTAACTTTTACAATTATTAAATGATCTCTAGGATCCTCTTGCTAAGTTTAAACCTTTTGGGTTTTTTTGTGGCAAAGGCTTTATTACTGGAAATTGAGAAAGCAAGGAGAGAAGATAAAATTCTCCACTGTAGTACTTAATATGCTGGGCAGTTAGGAGAATTGGAGGGCAACCTGCTACCAAATGGATGATTCCAGAAATGGGACATTACTTATCATTCCTCTCTGTTCTCTATTCTTCATGGCTGAACAGTGAGAAAGGAAACACGCTTTTCAGTAGGAGGAAGGAAACAGTGCCTTTGTTTAAAAGTATGAGTGACTGTCTGCCTTCTGATGAGTGTTGATGGTTAACAAAAGAGCTCTTCATCTTGGGGACCAAGTGGGCTGCTGGTCTTCTAGGCTGTTCCTTCTGGGAGTGGGAGGAGGAGAAGGAGAAAGAATTGAGCTAAAAACCCAGACACTCCTGGTGGGGGAGGGGGAGTGTAGTGCTCTGGCCGCCTGGCTTAGCCTCCCAGTGGCTGCTTGCAGTGCTGGGCAGGCTTGGAAGGGGGCAGAGCAGGGACTCCGAGAAGGGGAGGAAATATGTTGCAGCTGTCAGGATCATTACTTTTACTTGAGAAAATTGGGGGGAAGAGTATTTTAAAATCTGTAAACAGAAAGTCAAATGTCAAATCTACATCATTAATCTGTGTCCTTAGAAAAACGGATGCTGAGGCCTCTGGCGGTACAGTGGGTTAAAGCACAGCACTATGATGCTATCACAGCTACTGCAGCGAGTTAGATACAGGCCAGGGAGGTGACACGCCTGCTGCTCCCCTCAGCAGTGTACTTGTCAACCTGCCTGTTCTGTTCCCCACTCTGTCTCTGGTGAATCCTCTCACCCCCACCCTCGCACCTCTGCCTGTATCCCAGTTCTGTATGCATAAATAAATAAATCTTTAGGAAAGAAAAACAGATGCTGAAATGGAGATAGGAGTACAAAAGGTTTTTTGAGGGGAGTATAAAGGGGCCCTTGGGAAAGATGAATGAGGAAGCCAGACTGAGTGGGATGAGCCTTTAGACTTTAATGCAGACTGATAAAGCCTCCGCATACCTGTTAGGGAGCTCTGGAGCAAACACTACCTGTTGACATCCTCATGGGGAATGACCAGGCTCTCCAGTGCAAGCTCAGTCATTTGGCTAAGGGCTGCCAGGAAAGAGCCAGGCTCTAAAGTGAGAGCCAGAGGCTGTCAGCTAAACTCACTCCTTGTGGCTGAAGGGCAAGCTCCTGCAAGGGCAGTGTACTAGCTTGGCTTGCACAGTCATCAAGCCCTCCTAGTACTGACAGGGCAAAGGCATGGCTCAAAAGCAGGGCACAGGTCATGTGGGAGTTGCTGGGAATTGAAAATTCCTACTCAGGGTTCAAAATCTGAGATCTGAAGACTCCGGTCAACTTGAGATCTACCATTAAAAAGTAGTGTTACACTGGCCCTCCTTGGTGGTGCAAAGGGTTAGGATGTATCACTGCTAGCTAGCCACAGCTGCTTCACTGTGAGTTCGATCCCTGGCCCGGGAAGTGATCTACATGGCCCAACAGACCTCTCCTGTCTCGCCTGCTGCTCCCCTCAGCAGTGT